CCGTGGTAGGGGTCATTTCAGCTGGTTCTCAGTAAGACTCGGTCTGGCCAGCCTGTGACTAAACGTTACCTTGAATCCTCGCAGCACTCTTCAGAGTCAGGAGAGGCGCTAACTGCTGTTAAGAACACCCGTTTGGAAAGGGGGCATTGGGCTGATGCTTCTGTGGACATGCCAGGACCAGTGGCGCTGGGCTTGCCACCCTGCATGACTCTGTGCTGTGGGAGGTGGGCCTGGGGTGGCTCAGGACTGATGAAGCTTGGGCATCTTTGGTTTGCCAACATGGGGCTTTAGACCTCAGCAGGTGTTGGGGTGCGTGCTGTCAGTACCCCAGGCCACAAGCAGACGTCAGAGCTAGCCAGTGTGGGCCTGTCGTCCTGGGTGGCTGGGTGCCGTGTCCTGGTTCCCAGCTTGTGGCCTCCCTGTGGTGTGGCTCTTTGTGGTGGGGTCACCCTGTCTATGTCAGGCCCGGGCTATTGCTCTTGTTCTCCTGGCATTGTGTCAGCTCAGTGCCCACAAAAGGGGCCTCTTGGCAAAGGAGTTTTCCGCCTCTTCTGTCTTCAGAAGCCACCAGTGTCTGAAACTTGGCTCTGTCTGGTGGGACCTCACCAGCATCTTCCCATGTCCCAACCCTTCCCCCTTTTAACTACGTCTTCTCAGGGTCTGGCCTCAGAGAACAGTGTTGTTGCAGGTAGTTTAGGCAGCTCCTTTGTGCCGTGATGCAGCAGGGTGGGGCTGCCCACATGTGCTCTGAGCAGCTGGTGCCTGTTCCAGGGTCTGTTCCATACAGCACGTGCCTTGGAGACTCCGTTCTCGGTAGGACTCTCCTGTTGTAAGCATCTGGCCTGCTCAAGCAGGAGGAGTCTTCAGACGGATGTAGGGCAGCTCCTGGCACAGACGGGGAAGTGTTGGGTACCTCTGCAGGCCAAGGGCAAGGAGAGGGGCCGCCTCGCTTGGCGCAGGGGCTTGAGCTGGGCCCTGCCTCCTGCCTCCTACCTCCTGTGTGCTGGGGAGAGGGTGACAGATGGGGCTGTGCCTCTGGGTTAGTGGGAAGGCGAGGCAGTATGACTGCCTCAGGTGGTGGAAAGCACACGCAGCAGGGATGGGCAGAAGAGACGGGCGTCCAGGGCTGGGTGGAACTCTAGAGTCGCTGGGTCATCCACCGCGTGCTGCCCCGTTTGGCCAGAGCACACTGAAGTGTCTGCGTCTTTTTTTAAGGGAGCAAAGCTTGTACTGGCTTGCAATTCAGCAGCTGCCTACAGACCCCATAGAAGAACAGTTTCCTGTCCTGAATGTGACCCGGTACTACAACGCCAACGGGGACGTGGTGGAAGAGGAGGAGAATTCCTGCACCTACTATGAGTGCCACTACCCGCCCTGCACGGTGATTGAGAAGCAGGTGGGTGTCCTCTCCCCTGTAGCCCAGCCTCGGTTTGGGGTCTCGTCCTCCCACCCCAGGCCCATCCCCGGAGACCTCTTTTCCACCAGGTGGTCTCCCTTTGCCGTTGTGCTGGCCTGACCAGAGCCCAGGCCCCCAGCCTTGGTATTCTGCTGGGTCCGCCAGATTGTCCGTGAGAGGGACCTTGCCCCACACTGTGTCGCAGGCACCACGGTGAAGCCGCAGGTGTTCTGTATTTCAGCTCCGGGAGTTCAACATCTGCGGGCGCTGCCAGGTGGCCCGGTACTGCGGCTCCCAGTGTCAGCAGAAAGACTGGCCGGCCCACAAGAAACACTGTCGGGAGAGGAAGCGTCCCTTCCAGCATGAGCTGGAGCCAGAGCGATGACGGGCGGGGCAGCCGCACACAGTCACAGCCCCCGGGCTCTGCCCTGGGCACAGCAGAGACAAACTCGTCGTTGAACCTGGAGGTGCCGAAAAAGCCAGCTGCAGGCCCGGGACAGCCGCCGTGAGACTCCCGATGTCACAGGCAGTCTGTGTGGGCACAGCGCCCGCAGTGTTCATCTTCAGCAGGGACAGGAGGCGGCTCCACCAGGACGGTTCTCATTATTTATATGTTAATATGTTTGTAAACTCATGTACAGTTTTTTTTGGGGGGAGGCAATGGGAAGGGTAGAAATTACAAATAGAATCTTTTGCTGTAATCCTTGAATGGCAAATGGTCGGGCCACGTGTCTAAAAACTGTCCTGTAGCTGCAGCTTCGCCCCACGGAGCGCGGCCTGCACGGGAGTTGTGTCCACAGAGGCAAAGTAAAGGGGTGGCATCATCTGGCGTCTCGGCCATTCTCTGCTCCGCCTCCCTCTGGTGCTGCTTAGGGCGAGGTCATTCTGAGTGGAGCTGAGTCCTTGTGGGTGTGGGGCAGGAGGACCTGACGTTGCTCCTCGTGTGCCCTCTGGGAAGTGGGTGAGCTGACCTTGCCGAGTCCAGCAGGGAGTGTGAGTGGAACAGTGTCCTGGTCTTGTGCAGGACGGGTGGGGGTGCTGTTGGCTGCCCACCGTTTTATTGGGTGTGGGATGCTCCAGACCCTGACACTGGTTAGTTCTTGACTGATGTATGCGTGAAGTGCCTGGGAGCTCATCAGTGACAGCTGCTGCCCGGCAGAATCCACAGGACAGCCGGGTGTGGTGGCTCATGCACTTGGGGAGGCTGAGGTTGGCGAATCACGAGGTCAAGAATTCGAGACAAGCCTGGCCAGCCTGGTGAAACTCCATCTCTACTAAAAAATACAAAAAGTTAGCTGGGCACGGTGGCACATGTCTGTAATCTCAGCTACTCGGGAGGCTGAGGCAGGAGAATCACTTGAACCCAGGAGGCGGTGTTGGAAGTGAGCCGAGATCGCACCACTGCACTCCAGCCAGGGCGGCAGTGCGAAACTCCGTCTCACAAAGAATCCACAGGGCATGTGCAGTGGGCCTGCTACAGATGATGGAGGGTGCTGGGCAGTTGGGGTGGGCTGAGGGCCACACTCCTCTGTCCCTCTGCAGGGCTGCGGCCTCCAGGATAGTCCACCCTCTGTCCTTGGGGGAGCCCCAGGTGTCTGGGGCTGGTCAGCATCTTGCTCAGGGAAACAAGCCAGGCTGTGTGGCCGGGATCCCGCCAGTCTCTAGGTGCACCCAGCCACCCACTCAGCGAGCCTTCTTGGGAGCTAGGAGCCTGGCCAGTCCGACTCTGACCTGTCTGGTCTGGTCCTGGCCGCCTCGACCCTGTGTTGGTCCCACAGGTTCCTGCTATACTCTCCCCTCTTGAAGCTCCTCTGCCGTGCTCCAGGACACCCTGTGTGTTCCCATTGCTGCCCCTGGCTGGGTTGGCCTTAGCTTCTCTGGCAGTACCCTGGGGCCTCCTGAAGAACAGGACAGCTGGAAACAGGCTATAGCAGCAAACCCCAGGATTTCCTGGAGCTTAGAGAACTGCACATGCTCGTGTCATGAGAAGCCTCCTTTTTTGCTGTGAAGGTCAGGGACTACTGAGCAGGTGAAAGCTCTCAGGGAGGGGGACATAAGTGTCCCTAGAGATGTTGGGTCAGCAGGTTGGGGTTTGGGGCAGTCTTCAGGCCTGGAGCCCCGCGTGCCCTCAGGCAGCCTGCTTTCAAATGGAGAGTCAGGATGGGAACGGACTGCAGGCTGTGTCCTGCAGAATGACCACGTATCACCTGACCAGCAGAGACTGCCTCGTCTGGCAGTCAGTCAGTCATCAGAAATGCACCAAAAAGCACCCAGGGTCTCCCACTTGTGCGACACCACACTGGGGAAGGGGGTGATGCAGGTTCTAAGTTTGCGTGTGGCGGCTCCAGGCCTCACCCTGACAGGTGCCACTGTGAAGGTGGGATGGGCCCCACGACTGCATCCCTTCTCTTATCTGATACCATGCCCTGGTCGTCTTTCCCCTTCTGTGGCCCTGACTTCTTGGTCTTTGTAGCCAGGAATCTAAGACGTTCTGAGAACATCCAGATGGCTGCAATGTGGGGCTGGCTTCCAGCTTGTCTGCAGTGCGGTGCGTCGGGGTGCTTGGCCTGGTCACTCTCCCTCCCACGTAGAGGTGTGTGGCTGAGGCCCTTTGGGAACGCCCTGCTACCTTCCCCGCCAGCCTTGTCGGTGCCTCTGCCGCGGTCTGAGCTGCTGTGTGTCCGTACTGAAGGCCCGAGGCTGAACACCCATCCAGGCTCCGAGAATTTCAGTCAAGTCCGCCTTCGCTTCCTGGAGCTGCCGTGACAAAGCGGCGCAGGGAGCTGTGCAGCCTGAAGCAGCGGGAATTCACCATCTGGGCTTTGGAGGCCTGGGGACGGGCCCTCCCACCAGGGGCTCCTGTGGTCAGCTTTCCTTTCTGCGGACTCCAGCTGCACGGGGTCAGGGCCCTCCCTAGGGCCTCGTTTCAACTCCCTTCCGAGAAACGGTTTGCTAAGGACGTGCTCTGAGGTGTCAGGGGCTTCAGCCCGTCGGGGCCGGAGGGTTTCTCCCTGCCCCTGCACAAGGACGGACTGTGCAGCGCAGTAAAGAAAACGTCTGGTAGATCCGGGCCGGCCAGGCCTCGTGGGAGCTGGAGTCCATCCTCAGATCTTGTCCAGAGCTCCCAGCTTAAGAGGTTTTTCAAAGGCAGTTTTGGGGGAAGGGACGGGAGGGCCAGGTGGCAGGTGCTGAGAATCCCGGGGCGCAGCCGTCTTCCTGCCGAGCCGCTTCTGGGGGGCCCAGATGCAGCCTCGGGGTGCTGGGGGCCCCTCCGCGTTGCGAAGCCGTGGATTCCGGGGCACTGTCACGGAAGCCGTGGCCTAAACGTCGTCTGAAGTCAGCGCAGCCCGAGGCCCAGGAGTAGTCGGGAGGGCGCCATGCGGTGCGCTTGCGCAGCTCGCCGTTGGGGTTTCCTCCTTTGACGGAATTTTTTCAAAGGCGGCTTCAAACCCGCGGCCCTGTCTGGAACGTGCCGTCTCCGAACCCGCTCTGCAGAGGAGGGGCGTCCCGAACTTCGGCCTCAACGGGCCCGCGGGGAGCGCGCCACGGTCCGCCGGCCGACAGGGGGCGTCCACGGCGGCCAACGCCCGCCCGGATGTCCCGCCCCGGCGCGCCGGAAGGAATCCCGAGAGGCAGCTGCGGGGACTCGAGGGAGAGGCTGCGCGCGCTGACAGTGTCCCGGGGTCTCCGCGTTGGTGCCGCCGGCCCCGGCTTCGCCGCCCCGCGCCGCACTCGGGCCGGCCCCGCCGACCCGCCTCTGCCGCCGGCCGGATGACGGGCGCCTGCGCCCTGCAGACGGTGGACACCGAGCTGACCGCGGACGCGGTGGAGTGGTGCCCGCTGCGAGGCCTCAGGCACCTGCTGGCGTGCGGAACCTACCAGCTGCGGCGCGCGGGCGGGCCGGCCGGCCCCGGGAGCCAGGTGCGCACGCCGCGGCTGGGAGGGTAGGGGGGCGGGGCGGCCCCGCGGTGGAGGCTGAACGGCGCGCGGGGTCGCGCGGGGACGAAGAGGGCGTGCTGGCGCTGTGGCCGGGACGTAGGTCGGACTCGGGTCAGAGTCTCTTTTTAAAAATTGCTCTTTTTGGCCGGGCGCGGTGGCTCAAGCCTGTAATCTCAGCACTTTGGGAGGCCGAGGCGGGTGGATCACGAGGTCGAGATCGAGACCGTCCTGGTCAACATGGTGAAACCCCGTCTCTACTAAAAATACAAAAAATTAGCTGGGCATGGTGGCACGTGCCTGTAATCCCAGCTACTCAGGAGGCTGAGGCAGGAGAACCGCCCGAACCCAGGAGGCGGAGGTTGCGGTGAGCCGAGATCGCTCCATTGCACTCCAGCCTGGGTAACAAGAGCGAAACTCCGTCTCAAAAAAAAAAAAAAATTGCTCTTTTTTGAGACAAGGTCTCGCTGTGTCACCCAGAGCAGCTGGGCCCGCAGGCAGCGCCCCGCCCCCGGCCAGCTTCAGGGTTTGGGAGCAGAACGTCTTCTGTATGCAGGTGTGGCCCAGGCTGAGGGATGGGATGTACAGTACAGAGGAAGTGGGAGTTGTACCTTAACTTCTGCAAGGTGCGTGTTAGGATGCAAACTGGGCGCTGGAACAACAGGCCCAGGTCAGGGCTGTGCCAGGCAAACTGGGTTCTGTGCTTACCCAGCCGGTTTAGAAGGAGCCTTCTCTGCTGGGTCCAGGAGCGTTCGTTCACCTACTCATTCGTCATATACAGGAAAATAGACATTTCTCCAGCTCAGAACACCAGAGGCTCTCCTTCCAGGCAGAATTCCGCTCCGTCAGTCATCACAAACCTTTGAGTTCCTTGGGTCCTTTTTCCCATCGCTTGGGTTCCTTGGTGTCTTGGCTTAATCAGAGAATACCTCTGCGTTTTTTGTAGGGTGGAATGGAAGTTGAGGAGCCTCAGATCCGTTTAGGTCGTCTCTTCCTGTACAGTTTCAAGGAGAACAACTCTACTCACCCTCTGGTCGAGGTCCAAAGAAAAGATACTTCTGCAGTCCTGGACATGAAATGGTACAACTGTGGTAATCCCCCTTGTCACTTAATCAGGGGAGCCTGATGCCCGATAGCCTTCAAGGAGACGGATTGTGTGTCAACTTTGGAATTGTTTCTTCGCTGTCCTGCCTGCCTCCCACTCGGGCGGTGCTTTATGCGGGGCTTATTTCTTTTGCCATGTTCCAGTTGGGGAAGCAGTGGGAGTTTTCTGACTTCATAAGCTGCGGCATCTTTTGTTTGAGAACACAATTGTAGGCTCGAGCCGAGTTTTGGAGCTGAGATTTATTTATTTATTTATTTATTTATTTATTTATTTGAGACGGAGTTTCACTCTTGTTACCCAGGCTGGAGTGCGATGGCGCCATCTCGGCTCACTGCAACCTCCACTTCCTGGGTTCAGGCAATTCTCCTGCCTCAGCCTCCTCAGTAGCTGGGATTACAGGCACGCACCACCATGCCCAGCTAATTTTTTTGTATTTTTAGTAGAGACGGGGTTTCACCATGTTGACCAGGATGGTCTCGATCTCTTAACCTCGTGATCCACCCACCTCGGCCTCCCAAAGTGCTGGGATTACAGGCTTGAGCCACCGCGCCCGGCCAGATTTTTATTTTTTTTAAATTTATTTAATTATTATTATTTTTTTTTTGAGATGGAGACTTGCTCTGTTACCAGGCTGGAGTGCAGTGGCGCAATCTTGGCTCACTGCAACCTCTGCCTCCTGGGTTCAAGAAGTTCTCCTGCCTCAGCCTCTCCCAATAGCTGAGATTACAGGTGTCTGCCACTGCGCCCAGTTACTTTTTGCTTAGTTTTGTTTGTTTTTGAGAAGGAGTTTTGCTCTTGTTGCCCAGGCTAGCGTGCAATGGCATGTTCTTGGCTCACTGCAGCCTCCACGCCTCAGGCTGAAGTGATTCTCCTGCCTCAGCCTCCTGAGTAGCTGAGATTACGTGCGCCCACAACCACGCCTGGCTGATTTTGTATTTTTAGTAGAGATGAGGTTTCACTATGTTGATCAGACTGGTCTCAAACTTCTGATCTCAGGGGATCCACCTGCCTCAGCCTCCCAAAGTGCTGGGATTACAGGCGTGAAGCACCGTGCCCGGCCGTATATCGTATTCTTATTGTACCTTTTCTAAGGTAACAGTAACATGCTGTAAGGTTTGTGGCCTAGGAGCAGTGGCCCCCACCGTATAGTCCAGGTGTGTAGTAGGCTGTCCTGGCTGGGTTTGCGTGGAGTGCAGCCCCGTTGTTAAGTGAAGCACAAGTGATGGCCGGATGCACGGTGTGCCCCGAGCACATCAGTGTGCTCACGGTGGTCCCTCCCCTCAGGTGCCACATCCCGGTAGCTGGACGTGCCCTCCTGGGCTTGGCCGATGCGAGTGGATCCGTACAGCTGCTCCGCCTGGCAGAATCTGAGGTCAGCGACTTGTACTTGTGCTGTGGGTGGCAGGGACCTGGATAGAGGGTGGGTGGGGTGGCTGTGCTGATACAGACGTTTTTCTAGAACAGCCTCGTGACAATGCTGAACATACGTAAACATTCTACAATAGCATGGAGTCTATTTTTAAGTTGTATTGGGTTTTACATCCAACTACAAGAGGAAGTCACCTCGTGTCAGCAGCAGAAGGGCTGAACTTCCAGATCCATTCACCTGTTAGTGGATCTGGAAGTTCTCCAAGGAAAGCCTAGGCAGACATTCTTGGATTGATGCTGGGGCTAAGAGTAGCAGTGAGTGTCCTGTGTAAAGATGGTGTTGCTCACGGATTATTGGGAAAGCATTTGAGTCCTGTGAATTTTTCTGGGTTTCTCACAGTGATCCTGAGCCATGCATTAGCAAAGTGACTTCATCTGATAGCTATGGGGGGGGGGATGTCACATAGTGGGGTGACCTGAAAGCCCGAGACCATGCCGTCACTGATGCAGATGCTGTAGGTGGGGCTGCGCCACAGGTCAGACCAGTCCTGTGTTCATGGCAACCCAGGGCCTGTGTAGAAAGGCCCTTGCTTCAGGCAGCTCAGAGCAGTTGCCCTGTCTTAGAAAGGAGCGAAAGAGTGGCCACAGGAAAGCTGTGGGCCCAAGAGAGGAGGCGTGAACCCAGGCAGGGCTTTGGTGCAACAGCCTCCTGGGAGCAGGGCCAGGTTATTTAGGAAGTGAAATTTATGTAGCTCTGTGGAAAGAGCAACCATGCTCTCATGGCTACTTGCAGCTTCTGAAGTGGAAACAGAGGAGTTTCCCCACTGTCTGTCTGGGGAGGTGAGTGTGCAGCGCCCTGAAGGCCTGAGTGGGGGAGTGTGCATGCCGCTGTGGTCTGGAGCCTGTACAGGTGTCTCATAGCATCTAGGAGTGCAAGGACAGCAGGTGGGCGCGAAAGGGTGGGAGACCGTGCCCCAGGATCAAGCCTGTGGGAAAGTCCTCCTCCAAGTGTGCGGAGTGTGGGCTCCAGTGTCCCCACATCTTCTCGGTGCCTGGCCCGTGGCAGGGTTTCAGGGTTAGGTGGAAGTGTGAGTCAGGGACTGATGCATTTCATCAACTTGGGGAGGAAATGAGGGAACCATGATTTCCCTGCAGGAGGGGAAACGTCTTCTGGGGGCTCTGGGGGGCTACTTTCCTTTGATGGAGTTCTTCCTTCTCCAGTAGAAGAGCGGCCACATGCTGGAGCCGTTGTCCAGCCTTGCCCTGGAGCAGCAGTGTCTGGCTTTGTCCTTAGATTGGTCCACTGGGAAAACTGGAAGGTAAGGGCCAGGCTTGGGCAGGGTCCATGAGCCTTTCTCTGAGGATCACTTCCACTTTTCACTCTAGAGAGCTCCAGCCACCTTTGGCCAGCCCCGACTGTGCTCCTGAGACCTGACATGATCACTGCCAGTCCTAATCTAAGAAAAGCTCCCCCATTTTAGTTATACAGCAATAGTATTTTTATCTAGAGAAGCCGATAAAGAGACTAGATCACAACCACTGCTGAGCTTGTCTTGACAAGCTTGTCAAGACAAGCTCAGCAGTGGTTGTGATCTTTGCCAGCAAGTCCCTTAAGGGGCGTGTCCACACCCCAGGACTTGTTTGGGAACCGGAAGAGGCTGAGGAATGATATTCAGCCGGGCTTCTCCCTTGGTTCGCTGTGTCTAGGACCAGGGACCAGCCCTTGAGGATCATCAGCAGCGACTCCATGGGACAGCTGCACCTGCTGATGGTGAGTGAGACGGGGTCCAGACTGCAGAAAGTGAGCTCATGGCAAGCACATCAGTTCGAGGCCTGGATTGCTGCTTTCAATTACTGGCATACAGAAATTGTGTATTCAGGTCAGTATTCCTCCACTGGTCTCCTCTCTGATGGAAGGCTTGCTGAGGGAGGGTGCACGGTGGGGAGGCCTGTGCTGCAGCTGTGATTCCAGTGGTGCTGGGATCTTGAAGACCTTTTATGGAAAGTGTACTTTTTTTTTTTTGAGAATGTACTTTCTGGGACAAAGACTATAGTTGGTGCTCATCACTTAGCTGTGCTTTGGAGAGCAAAGTGTAGCTTGCCTCAGGCAGTACAGGGTCCTGGGTGGCGCTGGCCAGGGTGTTGGAGGAGCAGGCACCTGTGGGCAGAGCCGTCCTGCCTCCGTGATGTGCTTGATCTCAGGCCCTTCCTGCCTTTCCTGGAAGTCCAGGTTCTGTGCTTTTTGTCTGATAACCTGTGGATACAATAGTGATTTCGCCATGTTGGATTTCAGGTTTGTCTGCTCCTTTTTTGGATATAGTTTATCTTCCAGAAAAAGGGAAGCATGAGAGAAGTAAGATTCCTTTGCAGGTCTTGTGAATGGTTTGTATTTGTGGCATGCCGATGTGGGAGTGAGAAGCTCACATTCCAGGAAGGAGGTGGCTTTGGTCAGCTTCTCTTTCCCAGGGAGAGAGAACTCACGGCAGGTGGAAGGGCTGGTCTCTCGAGAGGAGAAAGAAGAGCTGCTGAATTTGCAAATAGCCGAAGAAAAGATCTGACCCTTCCCTGCTGCTAACCTTCCAGGCCACTGTCGCGTCTGGATGGTTTGTTACCACAGAGCAGTAAGTGGTGGCCCTGCCTTCATTTGTGACCAGTCCAGCCTCCACACAGTAGCCAGAGTGAGTGTTTAAAAACACACATGTGGCCGGGCGCGGTGGCTCAAGCCTGTAATCCCAGCACTTTGGGAGACCGAGGCGGGTGGATCACAAGGTCAAGAGATCGAGACCATCTTGGTCAACATGGTGAAACCTCGTCTCTACTAAAAATACAAAAAAAATAGCTGGGCATGGTGGTGCGTGCCTGTAATCCCAGCTACTCAGGAGGCTGAGGCAGGAGAATTGCCTGAACCCAGGAGGCGGAGGTTGCGGTGAGCCGAGATCGCGCCATTGCACTCCAGCCTGGGTAACAAGAGCGAAACTCCGTCTCAAAAAAAAAAAAAAAAAAAAAAAAAACACACATGTATCGCATCTCACTCATTGTTAGAACCCTTTACGGTTCCTGTTTTGCTTAGGATGAAATCCATAACACTGATGTGATTACCCAAGGCCTGTGGAGTCTGGGCCACGCCTGCCTTTCCAGCCTCATTTTGGCTCCTCTGCCCTTGGGCACCTTTTCCTGAAACAGTCCACATTCCCCTAATCTGAGGGCTTTATCACGGATGTCTCCTTCATGGGTGAACTCTGCTTTTCTGGCATGCTCAGCTTACAGTCTTGTCCTTAAAAGACTGATGCAGAGCAGCGCCTTTCCACCCAGGCAGGCCTGGCCTCTGCTTGTCCCAGGCACGAGGATGTGCCTAGGGCGGGGTTCTTATTTGTGTTGCTCATTGCCACAGCCTTGAACTTGAGACCCATAAAGATCTCATTTCTTGAGGTCTGTCCTTGGATTAGTTCTTCTGCCTTGAGCTAATTCAGAGCAGAGATATGGTAGGGCAATTATTTAATAGTTTTGGACTAATTCACTCTTTCAACAAATACTATGTACCGAGCCATATTCTAGGTAATTCAGTACTTTAGCAAACAACACGGACAAAAGTCCTGCTTTCTTTTTTAAGTTTTTTTTTTTTTTTTTTTTTTTTTTTTTTTAGACGGAGTTTCGCTCTTGTTACCCAGGCTGGAGTGCAATGGCGCGATCTCGGCTCACCGCAACCTCCTGGCTTCAGGCAATTCTCCTGCCTCAGCCTCCTGAGTAGCTGGGATTACAGGCACACGCCACCATGCCCAGCTAATTTTTAGTATTTTTAGTAGAGACGGGGTTTCACCATGTTGACCAGGATGGTCTCGATCTCTTGACCTCGTGATCCACCCGCCTCGGCCTCCCAAAGTGCTGGGATTACAGACTTGAGCCACCGCGCCCGGCCTCTTTTTTAAGTTTTATTTAAGTTTATTTTTATTTTTGTGTTTGGATGGATGGATGGATGCTGGATTGTTGGATGGATGGTGGGTGGATGGATGGTGGATCGTCGGATGGATGGTGGGTGGGTGGGTGGTGGGTGAATGGGTGGTGGATCGTCGGATGGATGGTGGCTGGGTGGATGGTGGGTCATCGGATGGATGGTGGGTGGGTGGATGGTGGGTCGTCGGATGGATGGTGGCTGGGTGGATGGTGGGTCGTCGGATGGATGGTGGCTGGGTGGATGGTGGGTCGTCGGATGGATGGTGGCTGGGTAGATGGTGGGTCGTCGGATGGATGGTGGCTGGGTGGATGGTGGGTCGTCGGATGGATGGTGGCTGGGTGGATGGTGGGTCGTCGGATGGATGGTGGCTAGGTGGATGGTGGGTCGTCGGATGGATGGTGGGTGGGTGGATGGTGGATCGTCGGATGGTGAGTGGGTGGGTGGTGGGTGGATGGATCGTGGATCGCCGGATGGATGGTGGCTGGGTGGATGGTGGGTCGTCGGATGGTGGGTCGTCGGATGGATGGTGGGTGGGTGGATGGTGGGTCGTCGGATGGATGGTGGCTGGGTGGATGGTGGGTCGTCGGATGGATGGTGGCTGGGTGGATGGTGGGTCGTCGGATGGATGGTGGCTGGGTGGATGGTGGGTCGTCGGATGGATGGTGGGTGGATGGGTGGATGGTGGGTCATCAGATGGATGGTGGGTGGGTGGATGGCGGCTGGGTGGATAGATGGTGGGTCATCGGATGGATGGTGGGTAGGTGGATGGTGGGTCGTCAGATGGATGGTGGCTGGGTGGATGGCTGGCTTGCTGGATGGATGGTAGATCATTGGATGGTAATGGGAGGATGGATGATGGGGGTTGGGTAGACGGTGGGGCTGGGTGGAAGGTGGGTGGGAAGGCGGGTAGATGGATGGATGGTGGCTGGATGGATGGTGGATTTTTGGACCGTGTGGGGTGGTATGGGGGGTGGATAGATGGTGGGATGGGTCGAAGGTGGGTGAATAGTGGGTGCTGGATGGTGAGGGGGTGAGTGATATGGTCAGACCTAGACATTTTCCTTCTGCTCTTCTTCACTCTTTCGGGACCTGCTCTTGAGCTTCTGTTCCTTCGGGTGCCACCATTCACTCTATGTGTCGCTTTTCTTCAAAGATGGATTGTGGTTCACTGCAGCAAATCCTCTTTTCTCCCCATCCTTTTAGTCCCCCTAAAGCAAGTGCTTTAAGGTGACAGAGGGCACCTCCCTCTCAGCTTTAAGGCGACAGAGGCACCTCCCTCTCAGCTTTATGGCGACAGAGGGCACCTCCCTCTCAGCTTTAAGGCGACAGAGGGCACCTCCCTCTCAGCTTTAAGGCGACAGAGGGCACCTCCCTCTCAGCTTTAAGGCGACAGAGGGCACCTCCCTCTCAGCTTTAAGGCGACAGAGGGCACCTCCCTCTCAGCTTTAAGGCGACAGAGGGCACCTCCCTCTCAGCTTTAAGGCGACAGAGGGCACCTCCCTCTCAGCTTTAAGGCGACAGAGGGCACCTTCCTTCAGGCGCATCGTGTGGAGTCATGCATGCTGCCTCTGCGTGCAGCTTCTGTTCAGGGCTCTGATCTAGCAACTCTTGTTCTTGGAAGCTGGGGCTTTAATCGCTGGGGCCCTTAGAGAAGGCAGTTTAGCCCCTGGGACTGGTAATGCCCTGTGTGTGATGGTTGCTGGTGCCTAATGCCCTTCAGTTTCCATTTCCTCTCTTCTGTTCCTGCCGGCGCAGCCCGTCCGTCTTTCCCCTCCTCCTTGAAGGCCCAGCTTATTGTCTGTAGAGAGTTAGGGCGCAGCGATGACATTCCTGGGGAGTTGTTTCTGGGGCTCTCCTGTTGAGGTGGCGACCTAAGAACCCCCCATTAAAGCCACCCAGGGAACCTTCCTCACAAACATCAACGGCCTCGCTGAGGAAGGACATTTCCTGTCATTGGTCATGCTGACGCTTCTCTGTCTCCACACAGGGGGTGACGATGGCCTCCTGAGGGGCTGGGACACCAGGGCACCTGGCAGATTTCTCTTCACCAGCAAGAGGTCACTATCCAAGGGCCAGCACTTGGTGCCCACACCAGCCCTCCCGTTCCCTGACACCAGCCCTCCCATTCCCTAGGTGACCCCACCAGCCCTTGTTCCCTGGGTGCCCACACCAGTCCTCATTTCCTGGTGCATCCACATGCTGGGCACTGGCTCAGGCACCACCTCTGCTTGCAGACACTCCATGGGTGTGTGCAGTATCCAGAGCAGCCCTCATCGGGAGCACGTCCTGGCCACAGGAAGGTGAGTCCTCAGGAGGCCCATGGGCCCTTCTTGCCTCTTCTGTTGCCATTCCTCCTGGCACCTTTGCAGTATTCCGCCTGCCAGTGCTTTGCCAGACTGCAGGTATCTGGGTTTGGGAACGGGGACCTTGTCCTCGAGGGCTGAGTGGGGCTGAGAGACATTCTCTGCCACCTGGGGCTTTGTGGAACAGGTGAGCCTGAGCCTGGGCTTTCCCTGCATCCCCGCTGTGGCTGATTGGTTTCAGCTATGACGAGCACATCCTCCTGTGGGACACACGAAACATGAAGCAGCCGTTGGCGGACACGCCCGTGCAGGGTGGGGTATGGAGAATCAAGTGGCACCCTTTCCACCACCACCTGCTTCTGGCTGCCTGCATGCACAGTGGCTTTAAGATCCTCAACTGCCAAAAGGCAATGGGTGAGTGGGAACCTGTGGCTGCTGGGCCTCAGGGCTGGGCGCCAGTTCCCTGCCCCCTTGCTCTGCTGGGCTCTTCCCTCAGTTTTCACACACTCCCAGGGTCACGCCCTGGTCGTGGCTTGGTCGTGATCCATAACTGCCCCAGCTCCAGAATCTCTGTTTTGAGAACTCTGTTCTCTAACTAGTTTTCCCTGGTTTCCCAGCTCCGTTATTCCGATGCCTCCTGCGTTTGGGCAGACCTCTGACCCCACTGGGACCTCTGACCTGGAGGCTTACCACCTGTCACTCCCATAACTGTCCTGTCCGTGCTCCCCCACGCTTCTCCTGCTGGGGTCAGCTGGGACTCTGTGGTCTCCTGTCCCTGTGTGCTCACACTCTGGGCAGAACCCAGTGTTGTTCTGCTGGGGACACACACCTCTGCTTCTGCCTGAGCCAGGGAGTGTAGCCACTGGAATCAGCTGTCCACGTTCTGTTCCAGCAGGTTTCTGGGGTTCCCAGTGATCTGTAACGTTTCTCCAGGCAGTAATCCCCTGCTGTCAGAGTGGTTCACATTTGCCTTTCTCTGCTCAAACCTCCAGGACCTCCTCTTCCCTCCTGACTCTCAGCTCTTGATCTCTCCTCTCTCGCCCCTTCCCTGTCCCCTCACTCCAGAAAGTATCAGTCACAAAATCACCTCATCCTCCCAGCCCCACAGCAGTGGGTGAGCCACACGTTCCTTCTCTGCGCTGGAGCGTCCTCGGGGACTCGGTTTCCACATCGCGTTCCTCTCTCTGCCGCACCTGTAGTTGGTTTCTGCCTCTCTTCCCTGTTGCTTCTGTTAGTTCTGTGAATGTGCTTCATATATCTCGTCTTTTTAATTTTTATTTATTTATTTATTTATTTATTTATTTATTTATTTAGAGACGGAGTTTCGCTCTTGTTACCCAGGCTGGAGTGCAATGGCGCGATCTCGGCTCACCGCAACCTCCGCCTCCTGGGTTCAGGCAATTCTCCTGCCTCAGCCTCCTGAGTAGCTGGGATTACAGGCACGTGCCACCATGCCCAGCTAATTTTTTGTATCTTTAGTAGAGACGGGGTTTCACCATGTTGACCAGGATGGTCTCGATCTCTTGACCTCGTGATCCACCCGCCTCGGCCTCCCAAAGTGCTGGGATTACAGGCTTGAGCCACCGCGCCGGGACTTTTTTTTTCTTAATGTATGTATTTACAGGGATACGTTTTCCTCTGATCACAGCTTTCGCTGCAGCCCATGTATTTTGGTTGTATCCTTATTTTCATTCATCTCAGTGTATTTTCTAATTTCCCACGGTTTTTTGTTGTTTTTATTTATTTATTTATTTTTGCCTCAGCCTCCCAAGTAGCTGGGATTACAGGTGCCTGCCACCATGCCTGGCCAATTTTTGTATTTTTTTAGTAGAGACGGCATTTCACCGTTGTTGGTCAGGCTGGTCTCGAACTCCCGACCTCAGGTCATCTACCCACCTCAGCCTCCAAAAGTGCTGGGATTACAGGTGTGAGCCACTGCACCCAGCTGGCCTTTTTCGGAACTTTATTTATTTATTTTTTTGAGATGGAGTCTCACTCTGTCACCCAGTCTGGAGTGCAGTGGGGTGATCTTGGCTCGCTGCAGCCTCCGCCTCACAGGTTCAAAGGATTCTCCTGCCTCAGCCTCCCAAGTAGCTGGGACTACAAGCATGCACTACCATGCCCAGCTAATTTTTGTATTTTTAGTAGTGATGGGGTTTCACCATGTTGTTGCCCAGGCTGCTCTCAAACTCCTGGCCTCATGTGATCCACCCACCCCGGCCTCCCAAAATGCTGGAATTGCAGGCATGAGCCACTGCACCTGGCCTATACCTTTAATTAAAAAAAAAAAAAAAAAATTAGTGGATGGGTGCAGTGCCCCACACTTGGCAATCACAGCACTTTGGGAGGGGTGGGAGGATTGCTTGAGCCCAGTTCAAGACTAGCCTGGACAACATAGACCCCATGTTCACAAAATATAGAAAAAACTACCCTGGCATGATGGTCCCAGCTATTCAGGAGGCTGAGGCAGGAGGGTTGAGCCTGGGAGGTCAAGGCTGGAGTGACCTATGATTGCACCACTGCACTCCAGCCTGCGCCACAGAGTGAGACCCTGTCTTGAAAAAAAAAGATGGAGGGAACGTTGGCCTGTTCCTTATCAGAAAGGGCCTTCCGTTCTTTGGGATCTCAACAGTGTCTTGTGTCCACTCATTCGCTGTCTTTCCCTGGCTGTGGCTCTCCGGAGTCTTCCGTCCATTCACTCTCTGTCTTTCCCCGGCCGTGGCTCTCCGGGGTCTTCCGTCCACTCATTCTCTCCCCGCTGTGGCTCACCGGAGTCTTCCATCCATTCACTCTCTGTCTTTCCCGGGCTGTGGCTCTCGGAGTCTTCCGTCCATTCACTCTCTGTCTTTCCCCAGCTGTGGCTCTCCGGGGTCTTCCGTCCACTCATTCGCTGTCTTTCCCCGGCTGTGGCTCTCCGGGGTCTTCCGTCCATTCATTCGCTGTCTTTCCCCGGCTGTGGCTCTCAGGGGTCTTCCGTCCACTCATTCGCTGTCTTTTCCTGGCTGTGGCTCTCCGGGGTCTTCAGTCCATTCACTCTCTGTCTTTCCTGGGCTGTGGCTCTCCGGAGTCTTCCGTCCATTCACTCTCTGTCTTTCCCGGGCTGTGGCTCTCCGGGGTCTTCCGTCCACTCTCTCTCTGTCTTTCCCCGGCTGTGGCTCTCCGGGGTCTTCCGTCCACTCACTCCGTATCTTTCCCCGGCTGTGGCTCTCCGGAGTCTTCCGTCCACTCACTCTGTCTTTCCCCGGCTGTGGCTCTCCGGAGTCTTCGGTCCACTCACTGTCTCTCTCCTCGCTGTGGCTCTCCGAGAGCATAGACTCTGCCGTGTTCCCTTTTCCAAAGCTGCAGAAGAGGTCCTAGCCTGGAGCGGGCGTGTGGAGTGACTGCCGGATGAAAGACTAGTGAGGGTCCTGCCTGCCCTGTGATGCCACCTCCCAGGGACAGTAACGACGGCCTCTCCAGGGGCTTTCTGCCAAGGGTCGCTCCACATGTGCTGTCCGAGGGCCCACGTGGCTGTCTCTCATTCAGCATCTCACTCCTCCTTGGGGCCGCCTCTGCCCAGTCAAAGCCCTGGGCCCAGGGTTGGGCCTCCTGTGGCAGGTGTACAGACAGCCCTGGCACATTTTGTAATCCAGTGCCGTCCTGTTCTGCCCTCAGCCCTTCTTCATCAGCACTTAACCCTGGTTCTGATTCCCATCACTGCTGGCATCAATCCCTAGACTTCAGAGGTAGTGATGGCAGCCCTTTCAGAGCCCGAGTGGCCACCCAGCCTTGCAGCCCCTGGCTCACCTTCCACTTCTGTCTGCGGCTGCCCCCGCCAGCCCTGGCCTTGCCTTCTAGACGCCAGACCGTCTGGGTTTGGCTGCCCCCCTCATTTTCTCTCTCGCTGTGATGTCTGTTGCTGTCCACTCTAGGAGGTGGTTGTGGCCTCTTGCCAGGGCCGCACTCTGCCCTCACAGTTACCACAGCAATTTCTATAAAGTGGCTCACGCCTGTAATCCCACCAGTCTGGGAGGTTGAGGCCGGGCGGATCACGAGGTCAGGAGATCGAGACCATCCTGGCCAACATGGTGAAACCCTGTCTCTACTAAAAATATAAAAACTAGCTGGGTGTGGTGGCGCACGCCTGTAGTCCCAGCTACTTGGGAGGCTGAGGCATGAGAATCGCTTGAACCCAGGAGCTGAGGTTGCATGCAGTGAGCTGAGATCGAGCCATTGCACTCCAGCCTGGCAAAAGAGCGAGACTCTGTCTCAAAAAAAAAAAAAAAAAAAAAAAAAGGCCGGGTGCGGTGGCTCAAGCCTGTAATCCCAGCACTTTGGGAGGCCAAGGCGGATGGATCACGAGGTCAAGAGATCGAGACCATCCAGGTCAACATGGTGAAACCCCGTCTCTACTAAAAATACAAAAAATTAGCTGGGCATGGTGGCGTGTGCCTGTAATCCCAGCTACCCAGGAGGCTGAGGCAGGAGAATTGCCTGAACCCAGGAGGCGGAGGTTGCGGTGAGCCGAGATCGCGCCATTGCACTCCAGCCTGGGTAACAAGAGTGAAACTCCGTCTTAAAAAAAAAAAAAAGAAAAGAAACTGCTCACTTGACCTTATCAGTGGCTCCTTTCCAAGCCATGGTCCAGACTCTGAAACAGGGCACGCAGTACCCTGCTTGCTTCAGGCCCTCCAGCCACGCCATCACTCGCTGACAGTGCCACGGCCGCCTGTGTGTGGCTCTCCGTGCGAGCTGTGGACTTTCTCCCCATTCCTGAGACATCCCCTTCCTTCCCAGCTGGCTGACTCCTTTGTCCTTTGGTTTGAGTGTTAACTGGGGTCTGTGCCTCTCTCAGGTTTTTGCCGTATTGCCAGCCTTGAGTGTGGCTCTGTGGCCCTGCCTGATGCTTCTCTTGGAGGCGCAGGCACGTGTCCACCGCGAGATGATGGTCTGTTTCTTCTCCACCCATCTGCCCGAGTCTTGCTGGTTCCTTTGCATGACACAGCGGCTGCTCAGTAAACACTTGCTGAACTGTGAGGGGTTGTTCTTGGTGGAGTCTCCGTTAGGCATGACAGGATGGCGAGAGGCTCTGGGTGATGTTGCGTTTCCTGGGTTCTCTCCCCTCTCTCCAGAGGAGAAGCAGGAGGCGACGGTCCTGGCATCTCACACACTGCCCAACTCACTGGTGTATGGAGCTGACTGGTCCTGGCTATGCTTCCATTCTCTGCAGCTGGTCCCCTCACGGCCCTGTCCTAGCGACCTGGGAACCAAGACAGCAGACCTGAAGGGTGCAAGCGAGTTGCCAGGACCCTGTCGAGAATGCATGGAGGATAACCATGGGGAGGGCTGTGGAGTGAAGTCACTCACAGAGGACATGAGGAAGAACGGCACCTGGCTGGAGGCTACAGCAGCCGCCACGTGTGACTGTGGCCAGAGCCCAGAAGCAGCAGACTCAGCCTTCAGCCTCCTGGCCACCTGCTCCTTCTATGACCATGCGCTCCACCTCTGGGAGTGGGAGGGGAACTGAGCTGGAGCTCATGAAGCCCCTTCCCACAGGAGGGAGACTGTGAGTGAATGGCCAGGACCACCACGTCGGAGATGCTTACTCTAGCCCTGCAGGTGACTGCACTGGTGGAAGTGACACGGTAGTCAGAAAAACTGTTGCCTTCTCTTAAATAAACCTCTGCTGGGCCCCTGAAAATGGATGGGATGATTCTCTTTGGCAGTGACTGGGGAAGAGACTGGGTTCCCAGCTTGCAAATTTACTAGTTTCTCAGGCAGATTTTGACTGTCAGCCTTTTGTACTAGTTGAAGAAACTATATTAAATGAAATTTTTGGAAAAACATGACTATAATATGTTTAAAGCAAACATTAATGCTTCATCATGGCACAGAAGTGCTTGTATAGATGGAGCACAGCCAGTCCGAAAATCCGACAGTGGAACTCGTGACGGGTTGCATATGTTATTAAAAATACAGTGATCTGTAATCCCAGCACTTTGGGAGGGGCTGAGGCAGGAGGACTGCTTGAGGCCTGAAGATCAGCCTGCACAACTTAGCAAGACCCAGTCTCTGTAAAAAGTAAAGAAAAAATTAGCCAGGTTTGGTACATGTGCCTGTGGTGCAGACACAGGAGGCTGAGGCGGGAGGATTGTTGAGCCCAAGGAGGTTGAGGCCGCAGTGAGCCAGGGGCAACAAAGCAATGACGCTTATCTCTAAAAAATTAAATAATAAAAATATTGTATAAGGAATTGATTACAATCAGTTACAGACTTGTTCCTTCTCTCACAGCTTCACTTGACTAGCCTTAAAAATACATAGTATAAAACTACCTTCAGGCTATGTATATAAGGTGTATATGAAACAAAATTGAATTTCATCTTAAGATTTGTATCCCGTCCTCAAGATACCTCATGTACAGGCAAATATTCTAAAATCTGAAATCCAGGCCGGGCGCAATGGCTCAAGCCTGTAATCCCAGCACTTTGGGAGGCCGAGGCAGGTGGATCACGAGGTCAAGAGATCGAGACCATCCTGGGCAACAAGGTGAAACCCCGTCTCTACTAAAAATACAAAAAATTAGCTGGGCAGGGTGGCGCGTGCCTGTAATCCCAGCTACTCAGGAGGCTGAGGCAGGAGAATTGCCTGAACCCAGGAGGCGGAGGTTGCGGTGAGCCAAGATCGCGCCATTGCACTCCAGCCTGGGTAACAACAGCGAAACTCCGTCTCAAAAAAAAAAAATCTGAAATCCAAAATATTTCTGGTTCCAACCTCCCCCCACCCCCACCGCCCAGGGTCTCAGGCTGGAATGCAGTGGCTTGATCTCGGCTCTATGCAACCTCCACCTCCCAGGATTAGGTCATTCTCCTGCCTCAGCCTCCCAAGCAGCTGGGATTACAGGCATGTGCCACCATGCGTGGCTAGTTTTTCTGTTTTTAGTACAGACAGTTTTCAGCATGTTGGCCAGGCTTCTGACCTCAGGTAATTTGCCCACCATGGTCTCCCAAAGTGCTAGGATTACAAGCGTGAAACACTGCACCCAGCCCCAGGCATTTTGGACAAGGACACTCAACCTGTATTGGATCTCTGGGCAGATGAGTAAAAGGGAGTGTGCGTTCCGAGTTGCTTTGGGGGTCATCAGTTTGATATATGTGAAGTCAGTAGGGAACACTCATTGCAGCACTCACATGGATTAGCTCCCAAATACTGGACAGATGGTGACTCCAGGTGTGGGAACATGTGGTCAATACCCCTTTTGGGCACTGAGGAAGAACCAGGCAGACCCCTGGCACAATTAGTGCCTGAAGAATAATTTACTGCTGACTTATTTCTTTCTATATAATCCTTTTATATATAATCATATCTTAGTTTGTAGTCAGAGGAATGTCTAGAGCAGACATGATACAGCGCATGAATTAAGGGAAAAAGTTATACCAGGACAAGAATCTATGGCCAGGCGGTAGTGCCTCTGCCTGAAAGGGCATGTGCTACCCAGCAGGCTGGCCCAGGCGGCAGCGTTCCGTATCATAAAGATATCCGCTGTATGGCAGGCTTGGAGCAAGTCACTCCTCCTGAAAAGGAGCTGCAGTACCTTGCGTCCAGTTCTTGTGCACCTGAGGGCTTAAAACCCCTCCAGTGTAATCGCGCCTAGGTGGCTGTATGCCCCAGCAGCCCTGCTGCTGTGTACTGACTCAAAGCATCCTCCTATAGAATCACTGGAAGCTGCCAGCAGGTGGCTGTGTACCCTGACGGCTCTTTAACTACTGTGCTGACTCAAAGCATCCTCCCAGAGTTCCTTTGAAGTAGCCTGCCCCTAGATAAGGCTAGGGGCACACTGCACCCCCTTCAGGGCGCACGGCCCACCTCCTTGCCTCGGCGACCTAATGGGGGTGGACCCCTTGCTGCCCACTGCCCACTTCCTAGCCTAGGTGACCCAATGGGGGTGGACCCCTTGTTTACTGCTTACATGGCTGTCTTGACCCTATCACTATCCTTAAGATTACCCCACTCACTACCCTGCCCCCAACCTATACCCAATAAATACAGATGCTCCTGCATGTTCAGGACCTCGCCTGTCCCTGCTTGTAAGTGGTGTGCCCCTCGAGCCGAGCTGCACTTTCTTTGTCCTTTGGTGTCCTGTCTTTTATTTCTCTGATCCTGCGCCTCAGCACAGCGATTGGGGACACCCCATGACCCTGTAGGGCTGGACCCTACAGGAACAAACTGTGTGTGTTACATCTAACTCCTGCTGTGAAGGCTCTCACCTCTCTGCGAGGAACTGTGGTTGAAATGCAGGCCACTACCTGTCAAATCCTCAGCATTTACTAATGATACATAGGTGACTAGAAGCAAAATACATGCACTTTTATCCCTTTCTTATTTTCTGATGATACAACACAACATGCTAATATAATATTGTGACAAATCTTCCTAGGCCGCGCAATGGCTCACACCTGTCATCCCAGCATTTTGGGAGGCGGAGGCGGAGGATCACTTGAGCCCATGAGTTCAAGACCAGTCTGGGCAGCACAGTGAGACCCCATCTCTAGCTCTTTGTTCCTTGGGGAGTAATTCGGGGGATGAACTGACAGCAGTGTTGTCATCTGGCACAATCTGCCTTGTAAATTCTTTCTCCTGCAAGCTGAGTAATGTGTTCTTGCCCCTGGCAGGTTCCCAGAACCTTCTGGCTGGGAAGATGACTTCCAAAGAGGGTCACACCGCGCAGAGTCCGTATGAGAACTCTGCCTAGGTCTCCGCACTGACATCTGTCCCGTTGCACACTCTGCCATGACCTGAGGTCAAAAAACAAACACTGCAGAGCTGGCAAAGGCCTTTAATACAAACGGGAGAAGGCAGGCCGCCCCCCGCCCCCCGCTAGCGCAGGAAGTTCCTGGGGTACAGCTGGAAGAGCTTGCCCTCCTGCGTAGGCTCGAAGCCGTACTTTTCCAGGTTGTCGGGGTCGAAGGTACCGTCCTTGAAGTCCTCTTCGATGGCGGGCGCCACGACCTCGCTGAAGAGCTGCGCGGCCGTGAGTGGCGCCTCCTCGCCCGCAGGCGCGCGGTAGTTCACGTAGGGCTTGAGCTTGAAGCCGGTCAGATCTGGGACGACGAACTCCGGGACCATCTCCTTGACCTGCACGAACCTCCAGCCGGCCGTGAGGAAGCCGGTGTACTTGGCGCCCCGGCCCTTGCGGCCCCTGAAGCTCCGCGGGCCCCGCTTGCTCGTCCACTTGCTCATCCGGTCCGCGCCCCGGACCAGGCAGCGCGCCGCGGCGGCCAGGACGCCCATGCCGCGCCCTGCGGGAGGAGACGGCGTGGAGTCGTGGCCCGGGGAACCCGGCCGGCCCTGCCCCCGGCCGCGCGCGGCGCCCGCCCCAGCCCGACAGACCCACCTGGACCGGAGACCCCCCCACGCGCTCCACGCGGCCCCGCAACGGCTCCGGCACCGACCCGGCGCGGACGCAGCTTCGACCTCGCTCCGCTTCCGGCCGCCGCGTCGCAGCAAGAGCGGCTCCCATTGGCCACGGTCGCCGCGTCCAATAAGCGGCCTCAGTCTGGGAGGAGGCGTGGCCAGGGGAACTCGGCCAATGCGAGGAGCCCGCGGGATGGCGCGGGGCGGGGCGCGGGAGCCCGGGAAGAGGAGGGCGGGGCGGGGCGGGGCGGGGCGGGGCGGGGCGTCGGCTCCCGGGTGAGTGGCCGCCCTCAGCGCCGCGGTCCCTGGCGTCCCCATCACCCGCCATTGCCGGGGTTCGTCCGCCTGGTGGCCGGCGGTGCCCCGGGAGCCCGGTCCCCCTGAGGCCCTGAGGCGGCGTCAGGTGGTCGCGGAGGACGCGGGCGCTGGACCGGAGACAGCTCCTCCGAGCGGAGCCGGCAGCCGCGCGGGGAGAGCCCGGGACCTCAGCCCGGCAGTGGTGTGGGAGGACTCGAACCCTCGCGGTCCCCAAACTCATCAGTAATTTGGGACCCAGCATGTCCGGTTTGCGCGCTGACCCCGCCGGCCCGGTCACCCTCGCAGGCGGCCTTCCACCTGCCCACGCGGGAGTCACCCCCAGCCGTACCCCCACACCCCGGATCGACCCCCTCTCCAGGTCCGCCCTCACATCAGGATCCACCCCCTCCCCACCAGCACTCCCACACCCCGGACCCACCCCCTCCCCAGCTGCACCCCCACACCCCGGACCCACCCCCTCCCCAGCTGCACCCCCACACCCCGACCCACTCCCTCCCCAGCTGCACCCTCACACCCCGGATCCACCCCCTCCCCAGCTGCACCCCCACACCCCCATCCACCCCCTCCCCAGCTCCACCCCTACACCCCGACCCACTCCCTCCCCAGCTGCACCCTCACACCCCGACCCACTTTTTCCCCAGCTGCACTCCCACTCCCCTATCCACCCCCTCCCCAGCTCCACCTTCACACCCTGGATCCACCCCCTCCTCAGCTGCACCCACACACCCCATTTGCCCCCACCTCACCTTTACCCTCTCCCCAGTTTCATCCCTTCCCCAGCAGTACCCCCACACCCCAATTCACCCCTCCCTGGCTCCAGCCTCACACCCGGGATCCACACCCTCCCTAACTGCACCCCTACACCTCCAATCCACCCCCTCCCCAGCAGCACCCACATCCCGGATTTACCCCTCCCCAACTCCACACCCCCAAGCTGCATGCCCCTCCCCTTTGGTGTCCGCACACCCTGATCCAACCCCATCCCAGCTGCACCCCTACACCCTGATCCACTCTTCCCAGCTGCACTTACAAACCTCGTATCCACCTCCTCCCCGGCTGCACCCCTACCCAGGTGCACCCTCACACCCGATCCACGCACCACCCCCAGCAGCACCTCCCCTCCCGCGGTGCTTCTCTAGCGGGCTGCTCACATCCCAGCCGCACTGGGCCCGGCTCCCGCTGACCTGCTTGGAGCTGCCCCATCTGGCTGCAGTTCTGAGTTCCGGGATGGCCACGTGAGGGCTGTTTACAGAGGGAAGGAAGTGGCTCGGCAGACCAGAGGACAGACGCTTCTCAAAAGACAGCTTCTCTTCCTGGAGAACAGACTTTTTCAGCAGGATTTTCCTTTCAGTGAAACATAATTTGACTTGAAAAGGAACCCAGGGAAAAGTCTGAGACCACAGCTGTCTGTCTGGGTGTGAGCCTGAGTTTTCCTCAGGCTGTCTGCTCTTCACCCCTGACTGTTCTGTTTTTAGCCATGGAGGAAGAGAAAGATGTCGGCCCAGAGGTACGTAAGTCAGGGGGCCGGATCGCTGGACTTCCCAGTTATGGGGCATTTCTGGACCAAGAGAAGGCTCCTCTTGACGTCTTCTCTGCCGAGCTCTTTTGCCCTTGGCTTCTTGGAGCCTGAGTACGGTGGGAGTGGTGGTTCTGGCCCCTCTCTGCCGCCTATCACAGCTACCAGGCTTGTTAGCTAGTGGTGGCCCATGGGCACTGCCTGAGGCCTTATCTTTTCTTCCCCTAAGGTCACAATTGCTCCTTCCAGTTTCCCCTTAGGACTTTGCCTGCTGGTTTTGTTTAAAATCATTTTCTTAGTCAAACATCTGTAGCCACATCACAAAGGCCTTTATTCCTAAACTGGAAAACTGGATCCATTAAAGCGGCAGTGAAAAGTTAGAAAAGGCCGAGATGCCCCCCCTCAGGAGAGCGAGGGTGTGACTGGGTCCTGGGCCGCCGTGGGAGAGCGGGCGTGTGACTGGCTCCTGGGCCACCGTGGGAGAGCCTTCCTCGGATCCTGGCTCAGAATCAGTTGCTGAGCTCAGAGGGACTCACTTCGAGTCCTTAAGTGAAGGATGTGGTCTCAGGTGCTTCTGTGCACCCCACCTGACTGAGAGTGAGCGCAGGGGTGCCCCTGTCCTGAGGCACAAGCACCCAGCCTTCTGAACCAAGTTCTGTGCACATTCTCATTCTGTCTTGGTGCAGAATTGTGTCTTTGAAATGCGTTTCTGAATGCCCTTCTGACTTCCCTGGGTTTTCTGGCACAGATGGCCTTATCTGAGTCCTGGCTCTCTACAGCAGGTGGGCAGGTGGGCAGGGGGTGGGGCTGCTTTAGGCCTTTGCTCTTGTCTTTTTTTTCTTTTTTTTTTTTTTTGAGACGGAGTCTCGAACTGTTGCCCAGGCTGGAGTGCAATGGTGTGACCTCAGCTCACTGTAACCTCTGCCTCCTGAGTTCACGGGATTCTCCTGTCTCAGCCTCCCAAGTAGCTGGGATTACAGGCACACACCACCACACCTGGCTAATGTTTTGTATTTCTAGTAGAGACAGGGTTTGGTTTCACTATGTTGGTCAGACTGGTCTCAAACTCCTGACCTTGTGATCCACCCGCCTTGGCCTCCCAAAGTGCTGGGATTATAGGCGTGAGCCACCGCGCTCCGCTAGGCCTTGGCTCTTGTGTAGAAACTTGCAGGCTGAACAAGTCCTATCCGGTTCCTGGGTGCTGGGCAGCAGGCGTGGGTCCCAGCAGGAATGGAGAGAGACTTCTTGGGGAACCATCAGCGTCCTCTGCTGCTGCTCACTTGCCACCCTGCCCTCACCCTCTCTTCCCTCCCTCCCTCCCTCCCTCCCTCCCTCCCACAGACCTGGGCTCAGAAGTCTGGTTCCCCCCTCCCCCACAGACAGCAGCACACAGACTTCTTGGCCTCTGCCTCCTTGCTTGGCATGTAAACTGGTGTTGAATGTTCTCAGAATCCAGATGGCTCATTGGGGTCTTGAGCTCTGCTCCTCCTGGAGCTGAGAGGGGGCCTTGGCCTCCCCTGTGGCTGGGCCTGCTCCCTGAGACCTGCATCCCAAGGATTGCATCGGCAGCATGTGATGTGTTAGTGATGCCCAGGGTGGCCGCCGGCCCTGGCCAGCTGTGTCCCAAGGAAGCCAGGTTGCCCTCTGAGTGCTTCATAGCAGGGGGCTCAGAGGGCCGCGGCACCCTGGGCGAGGTCACTTCTTCCTGGAAGTCTCTGGGGCTGGTGACTTCTCCCCTCACTCCCAGCTCTTCCCCTGCTGCTCTGAGCAAGTCTGGGCTGGGAGGCCTGGCTGTGGCCGCTCATGCCCGCCTGACCCCGTGTTCTCTGCTGCAGGGTGGCTTCTGCCTGGGCACCACCCTACACTCGTGGGGGCTGCAGTTCACAGAGGAAGGTTCACCATCCACCATGGTAATCACCTCATGCTGCCCTGGGGCCAGCCCGGGGGGCCGTGGCCTTTTTTCACCTCTTCCCATCCTCAACCCCTGGCTCATTCCTGCTCAGGCCTGCGGCTGGGGCAGGGGCAGGCTCAGGGCTCGCTGACAGGGGCTCTGTCTCTACTCTCGGCAGCTGACAGGGATTGCGGTTGGAGCCCTCCTGGCCCTGGCCTTGGGTGGTGTTGTCATCCTTTTCATGTTCAGAAGGCTTAGTCGATTTCGTGAGTGTCTTGGATCTGACGCTGGCCTGGGGGTTTGGGGGAAAGCATGGGTGTCTTGGGATGTGCTTTGAGCTCCTGGGAGGAGTCCTCAAGCCCCTGTGGGTTTGGCTAGAATCCAGTGGCCTGTCTGGGCTCAGGCTGAGCACGCTGGGTTCAGGAAGCCAAGTCTGTTCAGAGTCCTGTCCTGAGCAAGGCTTCAGTGGGAAGCGGAGAGGGTCCCCCTCTGTTGGAGACGAGCCTGTCCCCCGGGCCCTGTTCCCTCATGCTGTCTGAGTGTGGCCCGGTGCTGGCCAGGATGAGAATACGACTGTGGCACCTGCACGGCCTCTGCCAAGGCCCTACCTCAGCTGCCCCTCTGCTCCCCTGCAGGACGGGCACAGCCCACTCCTCAGTACAGGTTCCGGAAGAGAGACAAAGTGATGTTTTACGGCCGGAAGATCATGAGGAAGGTAGGTGCTACCCCAGGCTGTTCACGGCTCCCCTGAGCAGGCCCCTGCGGGAGGGACCCTCTTGCCGTGGGCTCCCCAAGTCCGGGCAGGTCTTGGTGTGTGCTGCCGTCTCCCCGGCTCCACAGCTCTGCCACCACGCTCAGGGTTTGGGGAACAGTGTAAATCATCCCGAATGGTGTCTGCTTCCTCCAGCTGAACCCAACACGTTTTACCCAGAAATACCCCTCACCCTCTCAAACATCAGCTCCATCTGACCTGGAGGGGCAGCTCTGGGCAGGTCTGTGGTGGACAGGGGCCGGAGGGGTGGGAAGGTCCTGTCCGTCCCCAGAGCGGAGGTTTATTTTAACAAGAAATTCGAATGGAAAGCCACTTCCTAGGAACGTCGCTGGGGGCCGGTGGGTGCAGAGGGCTTTGTGCCCCGCCAGAGGCTCCTGACTCTGGTGCTGAGCTTGGGTCTCTGCCAGGCTGTGGGGTACTGGGCTGAGGACAGAGTCTAGCCCCTGGGAGTTGAGGGTCTAAGTTCCCTGATTACCGGCATGTTTGCACTAAGCTGAAAGCTGTGTGGCTCACTTTCAGTGTCTGGGTGGTTCAGCCTTGGTTTAACCCTTCCTGGTCTTTGGCCAACTGGGCTGTCGGAGGCCTCCCCTGGCTGCCTTCCTGCACTCCTGAGGGACCCAGGAAGTGCTCAACAGAACACCCAGAAGCGTCACAGAAAACGCA